CTGGTATCTCATCCTTTCTGGCCAAGTGGTAACTAGCCTGATCAACTGAGGGCTCGAGGTCGTATCCCATTTTAGCCGAATTTTTTTCTTTTTTTTTCTATAACTTTTGATATTTTAGGTAATCTATATATTAATGTATACATTATTTTCGTTGCACAAAATTTTTTTAATTATTTTATCTTCAGAAATCTCACCTGAGATCTCAGATGAGAATTTGGCATGAGAAATCACATGAGATATCAGATGAGATCTCGGGTGAGATGACAGGATGGACCTTTATTCAATACGTCTGCTTTTATCTGCTTTTTTGTTTAAAACCTACGTGTTATTTCCTACATAGTCATATAATATTATTACCACCAGTCAAATTTAATGATTAATTTTATTCAAAACTATAAATAAGCATCAATTGGATCGTCATTTTTTATATTACTTTGTCCCGAAGAATATATATTATAGTCTTGATTCATTAGGTAATAATTTCTAAGTTTCACGCGTTTTGTTTTTATAAGGCTTCCTTCGGAACTGTTTGTCTTAAAAGATAGAATGAATATTTTCCATATAATTATTTTTTTTTGTGGTAACAAACATATTTTTTCTAGGTTTCTCCGTAGGATCCCACGTAGGAACACACGTAGAAACTTTTCTTAGGCACTATTGACGAACGTATTAAGCGACACGAAACAATGTAAAATGTACATTTACGAAAAGTTTATTATCAATTAGGTAACTAAAGCGGTAAATGTTATTCACGAAATAATAAAATAAGCATTAGTTTCAGATGTACTTTATAAGGACGTAAATTCTGTCCCAAGTGTCTAATCCATTCTGGCCAAGTGTTAAAGACACTCTCGACTACCAATGTTCCGGACCGAGTTCAAATCCCTTTACTGGAGCTAAGGGATGATTTTTTTGTTTTAACTATTTATATCAGCAATTCTAACATCTTTTAAGCAGTTAAAAGTACAAGTTTTACTTTTTTATTTTTAAATCGCCAAAAATCTAGCTTATAAAAATTCACATGACATTTTCGCATACGACAATTCAACATGATACTTCTATGTGTTAAATTGGCACGACTTTTCACCTAACATGTCACCGTACAAATAACATGACAAGTCACCTGAATATTTTCAGTAGGGTATGATTACTTGTAATTAACAAAATATTAACACAAGTGCCAATTCCTACACAACCTGAAGCGCCTCCACAACCCTATCTCAAGTTATGACGTCAATCATGACTTCATTTGTGACATCGCAAAATACGTCATTTTAGATGTCGTGAATAACATCACATTGACGTCAATATGACGTCGTTTACGACGTCGCAAAAGTCGTACGTCACGATGTCTCAAAAGACGTCATTTACATAGGTTGTTGTTCAACAAAGGGCTGTTTGAAAGCATTTGAAGGTTTTACAAGAGCTACCGTCAGGATGGTTACACTAAAATCAGAGGGTTCGAGTATTTTTTATAATAAAAAAAAAGTTTTCTCAAATAGGGAAAAAACTTTCTCAATTCAAAAACTTTACCAACCCCTCTATTTTGGTGTTACTATCCTGATGGTAGCACCTGTAAGGCCGTCAAATGCTTTCAAACAGCTCTTTGTTAAACAACAATCTATGTAAATGACGTCTTTTGAGACGTCGTGAAGTACGACTTTTGCGACGTCGTAAATGACGTCATATTGACATCAATGTGATGTTATTCATGACTTCATGAATGACGTATTTTGCGATGTCACAAATGAAGTCATGATTGACGTCATAACTTAAGATAGGGTTACTGCCTGCTTTAGTTATTGATAAAATAAATATGGTAAAGCAAGCATCAATAACTACACAACTCGGGGAGCTTACTGGTTACAATTATTATTTATGATTAATAAAACAGTAACGCAAGCCCCTATCCCTATATATATCTCGGGGCGATTCCAGTTTACTTTAATTATTTGTAATAAATAAAAAAATGACGCAAGCGCCTGTTACTACATAATTTGGAGCGCTTACTGGTCGTTATAATTCTTTATGATTTAGAAAATAATAACGCAAGTGCCTATTTCTACGTAACCCAGAACGCTTACTGGTTGCTTTAATTATTTATAATAAATATAATAACAATGCTAGCGCCTATTCCTACACATTCTGGGGCGCTTGCATTACTTTATTTATTATAAATAACTGAAGCGACTAATAAGCGCCCTGAGTTGTATGCTGATTGTTGCTTACTTTCTTGTATTAATTTTATCTATAATCAAAGGCGCCAGTATAAGCGCCCCGGGTTGTATGGAGATTAGCGCTTGTGTTACTTCTTTTTTAATTATAAATACATTAAGTGACCAGTAAGCGCCTCGGGTTTTGTTGTAAGTGCCGCTGACATTATTTTATCTCCTATAGATAATTAAAGCGACCAGTAAGCGCCCCGGGTCGTAGGGGAATAGGTTCTTGCGTTATTATTTTATCAATCATAATCAATCAGAGCGACTAGGAAGCGCCTTGGGTGGAGTGGTGTATAGGCGCTTGCGTTATTATTTTATTTATTATAAATAATCAAAGTGACCAGTAAGGGCCCTGAGTTGTGTGGTGATTGGCGCTNATTTGTTATTAAATAACCTCAAATTCGTACTTTAGTTCTACTTTTCTGACATATGAGTTATAAATTGCAAAAAAATTATAGTATACCTTGAAAATTAATAGAGATGTCCACAAATTAATTTAAAGTGTTTTTATAACAATATAACCTCAAAAAATAAGAAAAATCGTCATATCTCGACGGAGAAGCAAAATAGGCCAAAAATACCGATTTTTTACGGGCATCCTAAAAGGGAAATAGAATATCGAGACGCACAAATAGAGATGTCATTTGTTGTGATGACATAACCTCAAATTCGTATTTTCGCTCGATCTTTATGAAATTGGAGTTATAAATTGCGAATAAATTACAGTATACCTTAAACATTCATAATACAGATGTGCGCAAAGAAATTTAAAGTGTTTTCATGACACCATAACCTCATAAAATAAGAAAAATCGTCATATCTCGACGGAGAAGCAAAGTAGGCCAAAAATACCGATTTCTTACGGGTATCCTAAAGGGGAAATAAAATATTGGGACGCACAAATTGAGGTGTCATTTGTTATGACTACATAACCTTAAATTCGTATTTGCGGTCTATCTTTATGAAATTGGAGTTATAAATTACGAAAAAATTGCAGTATACTTTAAATATTAATGCAGATGTGCGCGAAGAAATTTAAAGTGTTTTCATGACAACATAACCTCAAAAAATTAGAAAAAACACCATATCTCGAAGGAGAAGCAACATAAGTCGAAAATACCAATTTTCATGGGTTTACTAACGGGGAAAAAACAATCGAAGCGTACAATTCGGTTTGATGAAAAAATGATTTTCAGCCATTTCAAATACTAAATTTTTTTACTTGTTTAATGTTATTGAAAGAAATTAACTTATTTAACTCGTAGCAATAACACATATGATTGCTTCTTATATAATTTTCTGTATAAAATGAGTTCAATATTTGATCGTTGAAGTTTCACTTCTATCGTGGGTCCCACGACCCAATTTTTTTTTTTTTTCATTTTTTTGTACTTTCTTTATTTCATTTGAGCAACACTTCTTGNGGGAATAGGTTCTTGCGTTATTATTTTATCAATCATAATCAATCAGAGCGACTAGGAAGCGCCTTGGGTGGAGTGGTGTATAGGCGCTTGCGTTATTATTTTATTTATTATAAATAATCAAAGTGACCAGTAAGGGCCCTGAGTTGTGTGGTGATTGGCGCTTGCGTTACTTTTTCTATTTTATCAATAATTAAAGCAGTCACTAAGCGCCCTGGGTTGTGTGGGGTTTCGCGCTTGCTTTATTGTATTTATTTTATCAATAATTTAAGCATTCAGCATGCGCCCCTTCTTGACAAATATCACCTGAGATCTCAGGTGAGATTTCGGATAGAAAAAAAAAAAAATGTCACATGACGTCATGAGCGCTTGTGACGTTTATAATAGCAGCTAGTGCTCGACTTTTGAATACTTTTGTAAATATTAAAGTTATATTTAATCAATAATAAAGTAATAAAATTTTTTTTTTTTTTTTTTACGTATTTACATAGAGTTGTGGTTTTGCCCCTTTGTTCATCTGTGTAACCACCAGTATTTTTCATACTCGCGTGATTTATCTTTTTTATCGCGATTAGGAATTGCTTTGTTATATTTTAGTGACGGGATAGTATTGATGTTAGAAGGTAGCTTTTTTATTCTTTTGATTTCTTGACCAATGATATATAATTGGAACATTTTGGGAGTTTTGAATCAAATTTTGCTTGTCTAATAGTATGAATGTTTCAGGTGGGGAAAAACCACTACTTTTACACTTCTTTAAGTACTTACGATCCATATTTACAGTACATGCTTGAATCAGTGGATTTTTTAGATTTTTACAACTTGCAAAATAATCTCTACAAAGTTTTATCATAAAGTTATCAATGCGCGGAATATTAGCTTTCTCATACAGTTTTTTATTCGATATGAATTTCCGATAATCGTGACGAGGATTTCTATATATGTTGAGGCATGCTCTTAAACATTTTCTTTCGAATACTCTATAACGCTCAAGGGTCGAGGCGCTTTGATTGTACCATATCGGTGAAGCATATGTTAGAATAGGTCTGATTAAGAGACAATAGCAAATCACCTTCGATCTATAATTAAGATGTTTATTATAGAAAAGTGTTAGACTTAAGCCTTATTGCAGGTGGTGGAAGGGTGAGGGACAGGTCGCAGACAAAAATGCCCTTCTAGTATTTTGTGAACACGCAAAACTTTATTTAATAAGAGTTGCCACGGGCGGTATGTGTTGCCGGAAGGACGATGCTCGCTGTACTAGTGCTCGGGCAGAAGAGAGTAGGCTTGAACAGCTGTGACGAGCTGTATAGTGTGTTACACACGAGAGGCGTCAGGCGGCAGCACAAAGCACCTTGTCTTAACACTCCCTTCCTTTGGGTTGATCGCTCTGAAGAATCGTCTCTGAAGTTTCACACGTCTGAAGATTACTCCGACTCTGATTTGGAGCTAGTGATCTCCATATCACTGTCTCCTTGGTTTGACGTATCTGAAATCACATGAAAATAAAATATTTTAATCTCTGAGTTCTCTGATCAAAAATTACAGTTTAGTAATTTTCTTCTGAAATAGATGTGTTTTTCTGAGGACAAAGGTTTTGTCATGATATCTGCCTCATTCTCTGAAGTGGAAATCCATCTAACATTTACTTTATTCTCCAGCACACATGCTTTCACATAGTCACCATGTGTACTTGCCATGNAACCATGGTTTTAAAGTTCAAATTTAAAATGGACATAAAACCAAAAATTACGGATTTGATTAAAGTGTAAGGATAACGTGAGCTTCGAGAAAATATAACTAAAATTATAATACAGTAAAATAACAAAAATAAAAATTAAAGTACATATTGATTATTACTATACTCACAAGTAATAACTCAAATTTGCGTAGATCCAAAGCATTGTTGGAGATTTTTATTAATCAAGGATTAATTTGGAATAACTGATTCAAGAACTAATTTATAGAGGTAAAAATTTAGATGAATGAGATAAGTCATAGATAAATCAATAATTTTTGAGAAGAAATATCGATTTTAGTGTATTATCTAAGTGACTATCTGAATTTGTAATTCCAGTCACTCTTTTCGTGGTTATGGAAGTTGGTAAATAAGGGATGTTTTAAACTATTTGTAAATTATGGATCAAAGATAGATTTGTAAATACATTTCATGAGCTGCTATGATTGTACCAGAAAAGAATGTCTTAAAGCAGGGCAGAGTATATGCTGCGCTAGAAGGCGAGTGGAGTACCTTAGATCAGAATTGAAAAAAGCAGAGCTGTCTTTAGGCATGGGCCTACGGGGCCTGGGCCCAGGGCCCCAGCTTACTGGACTGGAAATAGGGGCCCCAAGTCTCAGCATATTTTTTTTGTTATTTATTTTGTATTTGAATAGAAATTATTACTTAAGAATAACCTCTATTACCGTAAATTCATACTGTCAAACTGTATTTTATTACAGCGAGAAAAATAAAAAATTATTGTTACAACTTTTGTCTCGATTTTTTAGCAGCAAAATCTGATATCAATTCTTAAAAACTTAAGGCTTGTAAAAATTCTGATTCCAAACTTAAAATCGATAAATAGTTAAGTCTTGATTGTGTCATAGAATTTCGGAGAAAATTTTTTAACAATTTTAGTTTTGAAAAGGATCGCTCATCAGTACAGACAGAGATCATTAGAGTTAAGTAAATTCTCAAGCATATTTCAATATTCGGAAAAGTTGACATTAGTAGATCCTTTCTTATTAATAAATATAAGTCAGGTATGGAAATAGTTTCTTCAGATTTCTTAACTTCACAAAGATAGCTTTTAAAATGCATGCATTCGGAAATTAAAACTTCTTTACATATGTCATCTTCGTATGAATTAGCTAAATTTGTACACGATTCTTCTATTTCATTATAATTCATGTTTTGTAAGACTGTAAAAAAAGTGAATTTGTCGTTTAATTTCTTATAAGCCTCTTGTCTTGTTTTTAACTGATTTATTAAAGTATCAATCAAAGGTAAAAAAATTTCAATTTTTAATTTTTCTTCATAACTAAAATTGATCCCTTTACTGAGTCCTTCTTGTTGCATGAGTTTTATACTCCTTTTTTTTATCCTTTGCTCAGGTATTTCAAAATCATCAATAATATTTTTTGCTTTTTCTAAGCAAATTGAGAAATTTTCTCTTAAACTGGATATGTATGATTCTAATGACTTTAATAAATTGAAAGCGACGTGTAAATCTAAATTTTGTTTTTGCAAAATTTTATTTGTGTCGTTGATACGAGTCAGAATGTCAAACCATACTACCGTCAAAAACAAAGTTTGTAAATTTAACATCTTCTTAAGTAAAGATTGAGCCTCGTGTCTTGCTTCACTAGACATAGTAGTATCGTTTGATATTTTATTAAGAGCTTTCATAATATTCGTATAACCTTTACAAAGTGCAGTAATAGCATCAGCCTGGGCTGACCATCTTGTTGCAGGTAATGCTTTTAAAACTAGATTTCCTGCTCCTAATTCAACTAATAAAATTCGCCATCTGTGGGTTGACAAAGAAAAAAACGTATAAAGTTTCTGTACAAACTTGAAATACGCAACTACAGGTTGCACGCATTCAGCTGCTTTTACACCGACTAAATTTAGCGAGTGTGCAGCACAAGGAATATACTCGGCGTATTTATTCAATTGCTTTATCCTAGCTTGTAATCCTGAATATCGACCGGACATGTTCGACGCGTTGTCGTAAGACTGTCCTCTACAATCCTTAATGTTCAAATCATTTTTTTCTAAAAAATCGATTATTACAGTACTTAAATACTCTGCCCCGTGTCCTTCAATTGGAATGAATGTTAAAAAACGTTCAACAGGACCTGTGTCTATTACATAACGGACTGTAAAAGTTAGTTGATCGGTAGGGGTGATATCTGGAGTTGAATCAACAGATATCGAGTAATATTTTGATTTTTTGAGTTCTTCGATTATAGATTTCAAAACATTCTTTTCCATTGATTCTATGAATTCTTTGCATATGTTTGCTGATAGGTATGATGTTACACCGTGACCTTTGTTTCCATGACAACTAATGTGCTCTTTTAAAAAAGTATCATATTCGCTTAACAGTTCCAAGATTCCTAAATAATTTCCATTATGCTTTGATCCGAGTATTTGGTTATCACCTCTAAAAGCAAGATCTCTACAGGCGAGAAACTTGATAACATCAGTAATTCTTTTTAAAACTTTTATCCAATATTTTTTCTGGTCTTCGTATTGTACTGTTAACTGCGTATCAATTAATTTTAATCCATTTTTTCTTTGACAGTAGATTGTTAAACTTTTTCTATGATTTTGACTTTGCTTATGTCCTGCAATACGGTTTGGATGCTTCCAGTCACAAAAACCTTGACTTGTAAATTTATCTTGTTCTGAAGAAAAAAGACGACATAAAAAACAGAATACGAACCCAGTCGATGGTGAATATAAAAGCCATTCACGTTCTACTACTTCGCCATTGTGTAATTTAATTTTGAAATAATGATCTATTAAAAGTTCTGACTTTTTGTTTCTGTCCATATTGATAAGTCTGAGCAGATTTGGTAAAATCGCTATTTTTATTGTTGCATAAGCTTGGCCCTTTTCGTAACCAATACAATTGTAGATCATTATCTATTTTTCCATAATGCTGGGTCTGATGAATAAAAAATCTCCGGAGTTTTCAGGTTAGCTTCTTCTATGAGTGTTGAAACTGTTAAATGCAAAAAAAAAGTTGCTTTTTTACAAATATAGATGTAATTTACTCATTTTTTTATTTACATAGATGAATATTTATTGTAAATTTTTTTTAATTTTTCTTTTGTATCAGTCAAAGTGCATATTTTGATGATGTAAATGTCAAAAAAAATATTATATTCATACAAATTTTTACCTCACAAAACTTATATCCTGAAAAATTTAATATACTTTTTAAAACGTTTCGATTTTATTTTTTTTTCAACGTTTATTTGTAATAGACAAGTACTTTTTTGTGTTATTATATTTATCTGGTACAAATTAAACGTGAAATATTATCTGTGTTGACTAAAAATTTTATCTGAAATCTCAAACATCCAAGACTGAAACACCGGCGTACAAGCTTTTTGGTCAGTCATTTTATTTATATGGATTCTTTATTGTTTAATTACCTAATACTTTTTAATCAAGTTATTGATTTTCAAAAAACTAATTTCAAAATAATTTAACAATCTGAATGATCTTCTAAACTTACACTCAAATCATTTAATATGACGCATTAGNAGCATTTACTGTTCCTTGTTGGAGTCCTTCATAAATTTGAAATTTATCTGATTTTTTATTGTTGAAATTAGTAACGTATAGTTCTCTATCTAGAAACGAGTAAAACAGTAAATTAATCACATGAGGTGGGAATTTATTTTTGGAAAAGTTTAAAAAGGAGACCTTTAACCCACACACTGTCGAAGGCTTTCTCTAAATCTATAAGGCATACCGCTACTAGTTCAATTTTATTGATATGTCGGCACATATCGCTTATCACTTTATTAAGTGCATAAGTTGTTGAGGGCTTGTGTCTAAAGACAAATTGTTCGTTGGGTATAATGTTGTTTAGTGTGCAGAAGTCATTTAACTGATTATTGATACCGGCCTCAAAAACTTTACTGATGCCGGGCACTAAATAAATAGGACGATAACTTTTAGCATCGTGCGGGTCTTTGTTTTTTTTTAAAAGTGGTATAATTTTTGCTATTTTCCATTTTTTGGGAAAGTACGCGTTATTAATTATATTGTTGAACAAGATTTTATAATTAATAATATAATTAACCGTTGGTTTTTTAAGTATTATGATGGGTATTTTATCTGGACCAGAAGAAGTTTTT